TAGTTCTGTGAACGGGCATCCTGGTATCAGTCCAGCTCTATCGCCACCGTCGCACGGTGGCATATTTATGCTCAAGCCGCTTGTGGATGAATCGTGTGAGAGACATCCTTCAGATCGTCCGAGATATCCTGTCGCCCGCCGCGGTTGTGCTGTCACCGACGCGCGAACCCTGTCCACCGTAGTAGTGGTAGTAGTGGTAGTAGTCGTAGTAGTAGTCGTAGTCGTAGTAGTAATAGTAGTAGTAGTAGTAGTAGCAGTAGTAGTAGTAGTAGTAGTAGTAGTAGTAGTAGTCGTAGTAGTAGTAGTAGTAGTAGTAGTAGTAGTAGTAGTAGTAGTAGTAGTAGTCGTAATAGTAGTAGTAGTAGTAGTAACAGTACAGTACTAGTAGCAGTACTAGTAGTACTAGTAGTAGTAGTAGTAGTAGTAGTAGTAGTAGTAGTAGTAGTAGTAGTAGTAGTAGTAGTAGTAGTAGTAGTAGTAGTAGTAGTAGTAGTAGTAGTAGTAGTAGTAGTAGTAGTAGTAGTAGTAGTAGTAGTAGTAGTAGTAGTCGTAGTAGTAGTCGTAGTAGTAGTAGTAGTAGTAGTAGTAGTAGTAGTAGTAGTAGTAGTAGTAGTAGTAGTAGTAGTAGTAGTAGTAGTAGTAGTAGTAGTAGTAGTAGTAGTAGTAGTAGTAGTAGTAGTAGTAGTAGTAGTAGTAGTAGTAGTAAGTAGTAGTAGTAGTAGTAGTAGTAGTAGTAGTAGTAGTAGTAGTAGTAGTAGTAGTAGTAGTAGTAGTAGTAGTAGTAGTAGTAGTAGTAGTAGTAGTAGTAGTAGTAGTAGTAGTAGTAGTAGTAGTAGTAGTAGTAGTAGTAGTAGTAGTAGTAGTAGTAGTAGTAGTAGTAGTAGTAGTAGTAGTAGTAGTAGTAGTAGTAGTAGTAGTAGTAGTAGTAGTAGTAGTAGTAGTAGTAGTAGTAGTAGTAACAGTATATGGTGTCCTTGTTTATGTACTCGCGAAATTGCTTGGCCACGGGTCTTTTGCAGATTTTTGAGGGCCAGGAGGCGAACTGCCAGGCCCCTGTGGCAAGCTGTTGAGGGTCTTCTGCAGCAGGCGTGCCACATATCTTTCGTGGCCTTCGGCCCATTCCGCTACTGGGCCTGTGTTGTAGGTCATAGGCCTCCTGGATGCCTGTGAGGATCTCTTTGGGAGGCTCATCGGATTCATCTTGGAGGCGGTCTTGGGGGTGTCTTGGGGCGTCTTGGGGACCTCTTGGGGCCTGACTTGGGCCTCTTGGGGCCTCTTGGGGGCTTTCTTGTGGCCTCTTGGGCGCACCTCGGGGGCTTGTGGGGGGATCTTGGGGCCATCTTGGGGCGGAGGGCTCAAAATGTCACTTCGTGCTCATCTTGGGCCCCTCTTGGGACCGTCTTGGGGGGACGCGAAAGCCGAGGGGGAAAGTTCCCAGCGGCCGTGGCTGGCATTGAGGCCGAGGGCTGGGGGCTGGGGGCTGGGGGCCAGGACCAGGGCCCGGGGCCAGGGCTGGGGCTGGGGCGGGGGCCGGGGCCAGGCCTGGGGCCATGGCTGTGCCTGGGCAGGGCCCAGGTCCAGGGCCAGGGCTGGCGCCGTCGTCGTCGTCGTCGTCGTCGTCGTCGTCGTCGTCGTCGTCGTCGTCGTCGTCGGCGGAGGAGGAGGAGGAGGAGGAGGAGGAGGAGGAGGGAGGATGAGGAGAAGGATGAGGATGAGGAGGAGGAGGGCTGGGGCGGGCGCCTGGGATGCGAAAGCCGAAAGGGAAAGCCCCCCGCGGGGGAGGGGTCACGATCCCCAGGACCCCCTCCCCGGACCTCCCCTGGGGATCCCCCCCCCCGACCACCCCCACGGGACCCCTTCGGGACCCCCCCAGGACCAAACCCCCCGGGCGGTGAAGGGACAAAGGGAAGGGACTTCCCTTCGACGTAATCGCGACGATGTTCGATTTTCCTCGTTTGTTCGATCTCCCTCACGACGACGATTCAAAGGAGGCTGGCGTACAACATTTTGGGTTGGGCTGACCTCGCGCCGAAGGGCCGACTGGGTTTTAGGATTTTTCCGATTACGTGTGCTTGCCTATCTTTACCGAACGAAGTTGGTACGAGAAAGGCTGATTTCGCACACGAGCGTGAGAGAGTTGATGCTGGTTATGGTGGAGGTTACGATGATCATGTTGATGAGGATGATGATGGTGTAGATGATGTTGACGATGTATGGTGCCTAATGATGGTGAGTGGGAATATGCGCTGCTAATTATGATGGTGGTTGCGATGGTCTTGGGTGGTGGCTAACAAGCATGATCAGAGCCTGGGGGCAGACGAATCTTGGGGCAGATGATGTGTGCCCAGAGCTGTTCCGTGTGCGCCTACGCTATCCATGCGAAGAAGAGGGGTGAGGTAGACTCCGGAATCGACCTGCTCGGCCAGGGCGCGTTGATGTGCGCCTTCTCAGCTGAATTTCTCTTCGTTCCATTGACGGTGTAGGTGGAGGGCGAGGTTGAGGACTCTGCAGCCCAAGCTTTTCTCGAGCGCCATAGGAGACTTCAGCGAGGGTAGGAGGGAGTGATTTCGGGGACAGGAGGCTCCTCCCTTGGTTAGCAGGTTGCCGACCTTGCTGAGGTAGGGGTGCTCTCCTCTTCTAGAATGACGGGCGACGTAGCATTTAGCCCACCGAAGCAAGAAAGATGAGGATGATGATGACGATGATGATGATGCTGATGATGTTGATGATGGTGATGGTGATGATGATGATGCTGATGCTGATGTTGACGCTGATGCTGATGACGATGCTGTTGCTGATGATGATGCTGATGATGTTGATGATGAGGTGATGATGATGCTGATGCTGATGATTCTGATGCTGATGATGCTGCTGATGCTGATGATGTTGATGATGAAAATGATGATGATGATGATGATGATGATGCTGATGATGATGATGATGATGATGATGATGATGATGATGATGATGATGCTGATGATGATGATGATGATGCTGATGCTGATGTTGTTGATGATGATGATGATGATGATGATGCTGATGATGATGATGATGATGATGATGAGGAGGAGGAGGAGGAGGAGGAGGAGGAGGAGGATGAGGAGGAGTGGGAGTGAGGAGTGAGGAGTGGGGAGGAGGAGCAAGAGGATGAGGAGGATGAGGGGGAGGAGAAAGAGGAGGAGGAGGATGAGGAGGAGGAGAAAGAGGAGGACGAGGAGGAGGATGAGGAGCAGGAGGAGGAGGAGGAAGAGGAAGAGGAGAATCCGTGGCCATTTTGGCTCAAGGTTTAATGTTGTGAAGGGCTATTGACGCTCGAGAATCAGCAACTAGCTTTGGAGCCCTCCGTAGCGACCGATCCACATTGCTTGGGACGAGCGCCCGCGGCCCTCTCACGATCCCCGTCCCGTGGCCTTACCACCACGATTCCGTTCCTTATAACGAGACGGGAGTCCAGCAGACCCAGCGGACGGCGGACGTCGCCATGTCGAGCGTTTCCAAGGGCGCTCTGAGTGGGCATGCTGATGCTAGAGGTCATCCTGCTGCTCCTGTCCGCAATATTCAGAGAGGAGGAAAGTGAGCGACGACCTGCCACCGTATGACGAAATGGTCGATGACTTCATCGAGCCCCCGAACACGTTCCCTGAACAAGATCAGGTTGGTCATGCTTTTCGTGGGCACGTTGACGAAACCAACGTTTCGTTTCTCGGTGCCTTCAAAACGCTCAAGAGACAAGTCGCCAGCATGGCCGACACCGTCCAAGCCCCGTGCAATTCGCTGGGACAGCAGGCGGAGCGGCGTATGGACCACGCCGAGAACGCCAGAACAAACTCGAGCAGCACACCATGCAGCTCGAAGGCAGAACCAATCAGTTGGAACATATCCGTATCATGCAGAGCGAGAAATTCAAGGTCGAAGTTGACACGGGCTTCCACCGAGAACCGAACCTTACCATACTGGTGGCACGGTGCAAGTTTTTGGTTCAGATTGAGCAGATTGCATTCGCTATTTCAGAGTGGGTCGCAGCGGCGAACTGTCCAAGGAACTCATGCGACGTTGTTGGTGGCCCGCCTTCGAAGCGCTTCGAAATCCAGTTCGGCGGCGCGCCGTGCTTCCCAGACTTTCGGTCGTCCCAAGGAGGGCTCCAACGACTGGCGCAGGGTCGAGGTGTCAGACGTCGATGGGCATCGATAGGAGCTTCGCATCGGTCCTGACAATTCGCCCCCCCCAGATCCGAGTCGAGAACTTTCTCAAAACCATCAGGCGTCATTTTGCCCAAGCGTTCCCCGACAAAGAAGCGTTCATCAACAAGCCCAGAGGAGAACTCAACTACCAGTGGAAACCGCCTTTTCGCGTGGTGGTGCAGAAGGATGCTCCTGCATCAGTTGAGTGGGCCACCGAGAACATCGCGTCGCAGGATTTCGTCAGTACCAACATCGAGGCCACCATCATGCCCGCGTATTCAACTTCGTCGGCAGCGCCATTGGAGTTGAGTCTTTAGTGCTGTGATGCGGGCGTGGGCTGGAGCTTCTACTTCTCGCCCTCCGTCGTCTCCTCTTGCCCCGTCTTCGCCTTTCCCGACCTGTTCTTCTGCCTCTATTGCTTCCGCCCCTGGGTCTCCAAGCTCTACCTCTTCGGATTCCGCGTCCTCTGGGTCTTCCACTCCTGTGTCATCTTCCTGGCCGACTGGGTCTCCCAGCTCTTCTGTGTCCTCCTGGTCCCCCGCTTTCTCGGGTTCGCGTGGGGCTAACTCGGCTCTGCTTTCAGCTATTTTTTTGGTTGCGTGGAACGCTAGAGCGCTCTTCCATCGCAATCTAAACGTTGGAAACCAAACATTGCAGCACCTAGCTGAGCCTCTCGTTCCTGGTGCTGGCGTGGGGAGTCAGGAATCTCATGCGACGGCGTGCGAAATATTTCTATGCACATCTGACTTCGTTCTGTGAACCCATTGAATCCTCTGGTTTGTTCTCGTCTGCTACCGAGGGGCGTCCCGCGGGTGGCGCGGCTGCGCTTTCTATGCAGACTTACTGGGTTTTGGACCGCAAGTTCCCGCCGGTCCAGGATAGGCAGGCTTTGATGCCAGGGGGGTTTCTTCGGCTTCAGTTCACGTTTGGGGGGAGTGTCCAGGTCATTCGCCATGGCATCCACAACTCCACTGAGCCTCTCACCAGAAGAATCAGGTTGTCAAGCTTGTCCTAGCCCACCAGGCGGCTGCCGCCAAGTGTCCAGGAAAGCGAGTCGTCACTGTGCGCTGCGGTTTCAACCTTGCCGCCGAGCCCCCGTCGCTTTTTCGCGCCGCCAGAGGGGGGCTCAGGCGCGGCGGGGGAACAGCCCTGGCGGCAATGTTGGAGGAAAAGGAAGGTCAGATGGGCCAGGATCTTCTCTGCTATGGTGGAGGTGGGGGATGGGGATTTCACGCACTTTCATGTCTCGCAGTGCGTGGTCTCGAGGACCGCTGCGCGTTCGTCGGCCTGCCAGGCTCGACAGTGGTGCAGGTGGCTGGTCGCAGCAGAAGCAGAGGGTCCACGGAGGTTCTTCCTCGTGGACTTCGGATCGCGCCGCCCGCGTCATCTGACCGCGCAGACCGTTTACCCGAGAAGATATCAGAGGAACATGAAGTATTGATATTGATCGATTTCAAGAGTTCCAGGTTTCCCCGCCCTTCCGCGCGGGCTCCAGGGACGGATGGTCGAGCGCACTCCGTCGCGCAAGTTCTCCCGCGCGATGTGCGCGGTGCATTTCCGCTCGTCGGAGCGCCCTCGGAGATTCCAAGCCGCGTTCTGTTTTGCCTGTGGGGGGTCCGCGAGTCGCAGTTGCTGTGGCGCGATTTTCGATGCAACCCCTTCGAGTGCTGTTCGCGGGCGCAGGGCGCGGCGCGCGCTGCGCCCAATCGCGCGCGGCGCGGCGCGCGAATAAGCCGGTTGCGCCCGTCAGACCGCCCAGAAATTATTTCCGGGTTGTAGAGCCATTTTTCAGGAAGGAGACCGGACATTTTCAAGAAACAGCTTTGAGGGGTGGAACGCGCCTGCCGCGCAAGACATCTGGGGAGTGTTGAACGCCGGAAATTTTCGAAATGTATTCCGGCATTTTTCAAAATCGACTCTGGATTTTTTCCAAATCGTTTCCAGTTGAAGCTAGGCTGGACATGTGCTCAAACGTTCCTGGATTTTTCCCAACCCTCCTGTGGTGTTGGTACTCGTTTTGATTAGAGCAGTGTGGTCTCCACCTCCTCCTCTCCTCCTCTCCTCCTTATCTCCTGTCTCCTGTGTTCCCTTCTACTCTTCTCTCGTGCCGTCTACGATCTGCGCAGCTGTCGCCATTTCCGTGGGCGCCTGGGAGGCCCGGCGGAGGTGCGTCCCACGCGGATCACCTCGGTACCTCGCCGCCCCCTGGGGGGCTTGCGATCTGCACATCTGTCGCCACTTTCGTGGGCTGCTGGGAGGCCCAGCGTAGGTGCGTCCCACGCGGATCACCTCGGTACCTCGCCGCCCCCTGGGGGTTTGCGATCTGCGCAGCTGTCTCCACTTTTGGGTGCTTTATCTTTCTGCTGGTGCCGCGCCATTTTTGTCTCCACTTCTTTGGGGGGTCTCGTTGCTTTCGCTGCCGTGCTTCTTCGTATCCACTTGTTGGTGTTTTTTTACCGCGCCCTTCTGCGTCCACTTCTGGGTGCTCCTGCCAATCCTCGAGGCCGTGACCTTTCGCTTCTTTTTTTGGGTTCTTTTCTTTGGGTTCGCTGCCGCGCCCTTTTGTCTCCACCTTGGGGTGAGTCTCCGCCCCCGTTATGCGCCTCATGCATCTGCCTCTTTCAGCGCAGCGCGTTGCTGAGTTAAACCGATGTTCTGGTTTAGCCCTCGCCGCCCCCCGCTTCTGTGTTTATTTCAACGCCCCTGTGCTTCCATTTTGTAGGTTTGCTGTTCCTCGTCTTGATGCTCTCTTCGGATTCCACTCCTGGGTGCTCTTTCTGGCGCGCTGCGGGCCCTTCAGACTTCCAGTCAGCACTGAGTGGTCCTGAATGCATGCGCCACGTGTATAAAAAGGGTTGGGTACGTCGCAGGGTCATTTCAAATCTGGACTCGGAGAATTTTGGAGAGTCGCGCGTGATTTTTCCCTTGCCAGGTCTTCGAACATCCGCCGAGGCGCGCAGCGCGCGGGCCGCGGGGGGCGGGGGGCGGCGCGCCACCGTCCCCCCCCGCGCTCGGCAACGAGAAGGGGGATCAGCAAGTGTCGAATACAGTAGGTTCATGCGGCGTTGGCGCGCCGGCGACGCCGGCGAGGGCGTTCAAGGTTGAATTCTGCGAAACGGAAGCATCGAGGGACACGGTGACACCATTGGACCCGATGGAATTCAACTTTGAACGATCGGGGCCGCGATCGATTCAAGGTTGAACGATCGACGCGGTGTCAGAAACCTTTGCCCACGCCGACGCCGCACGAACCTAC